AAAGAAATGACTGAAATCAATTAGTAGAGTAGACTATCGATTTTGTCAGTCGTCACTGGTTCACCAGAAGACCAAAATTTCATGCAGCACGCCAAGGAAACGCATAAATTAGCGCATGCTTGGCAATCCAAGGAGCCTAGCTTAGGCCTATTGGTTGTTTTTCTCTAAGGCGTTAGTTATTGCAAGAGTAATATTATTCGGCCTTTCAATGCCTTACATCTGGGACACATTATAATTGACACAGTGTCCGACTTAAACCAAAGATGCCACGTGTGACCCGAAGAACCAGCAGCGAAGCCCAAATCGGGCACACGTTTGGCAATTTATTCCCAAAGTTGCCACATGAAAAACAAACACCCCGAATTGAAACCAAACTGTGCCATTGGTAGGGCGAATTCATCCTAAAGGTGCCGAATAACAGTCAAACTACCAGCAGCGAAGCCTTACTTTGTCACTTGTACATTGAATTAAGGCCAAGATAAGCGGGTTCTGGCCTTAGAAAGTCATATCGGGCTTTATCAAGTGTTTTTCTGTCTTTTAAGGTACTAAAAGTTACAAGAAAAAAAAATTGGCCCAAAAGATGTCTGTCATTTGGGACGTTTTCTTAATTCCATGATTCTAGAAAAGAGGCTAAGAGCTAAATATTTCTTAATTCATTTCAGCGGCCACCCTGAAGAGCGATATGTTTGAAGCCGTAGGAAGCTATAGTGCCAGCATATTAAAGGAATACTAAACCAAAATTTGGATTTCACACACAAAATAAAGGCCGCAGTAGTGTTGAACGGGGCACTACGAACTCCAAAACATCGGTCATACATCGATATCTCAACCGGATTGCCGTACTTTTGGAACAAAAAGGCGAGGTCAGGCTATGGGTTATGACATCATTATCCTCCTGGAAGATTTGAGAATGAGGAGAGCGGCCTCGCTTCTCTCCTCCTCGCTTCGGTTCACCAGCTTGACGGGACGTAGCGAGGACGAGGGAGAATAAGAAATGTGACGTGACTTGGTCTCGGCGGCCTCGTCGGCCGTGTTCAATCGCCGCACTTCATTTCCAAAAATACTGCGATCCGTTAAATATATCTCTGTATGCGTGATGTGTTGGGGCTTTGCAGCGTCCCGCCTATCCGTCCAGCCTTGTTTTTGGGATCTCGAACTTTTTGTTCAGTATCCCTTTAAGACGTCCTAACATAAAAAAAAAACGTTTCGAACGCTACCTGGTTGATAAGGAATTTGAAGTGGACGCGTTTCATGCATAAAAACACAAACATCATATTTTGCATCGCCTTGCAAATAAGAACTCGTTTGATGAAGAGACAGATGTAACCGCGTATTAGCACGCAGAGTGAAGTTTACCACATTGCTGTCTCGCATTCCTTAAACTAAACGTGGATCCATCAACATATACTATCGCACAAAACCCGGTTTTATGAAATGTTTTCTTTTTTTTCTAACTTGACTACCCTCAAAAGTGCAGTTTCGCAGCAAGATACCCTTGCAGAACTTTATTAAATAACAGTGGAGGCCTCCATATTTTAGCAATCGCATCAGATCACCTACAGATCAGTGTTGCGGAGTTGCCACTCCGGAGTTGGAATGATTCCGGAATCATTCCGCATTTTACGACCCCGGAATGGAATGGGAATGGAATGGCGGCAACGTTGAGGGGAATGGAATGGGAATAAAATTACATGCCTTTTGCCCGGAATGGAATGAGAATAAAATGGGGCACGGTTCTTTTTTTTTTTTTAGTGTTTACGGTCAGCTAAACCGAGCCAGTCAGTGAGTCAGTTGCTCAAAAATAAAATGAGCGGGAAACTGCTAGCCCGCGTAGAACCTTAACAGACTTATACGCCAAAAAAATGCAATAAAAAAAAACAAGCGTCAAAGCAAAGAGCAAAGGGAAAAAGGGGTGTACCTTCAGCGAAAGCTAAGACGTTTGAAATATACCACATTCAAATTTGAGTGTATTTGAAGTAAAGTTTATAAGTGTAAGTACACAATAAATACACCGGAAATATACACTTTTTTTTTCTTACTTTGTACTAAAATATATTTCTGAAAATCTTATAAAAATACCTTTATTTAAACTACATTTCAAGTTCCCTTCATGCGTTCTGAAATATGTAAATACTAAATTAGTATGCCCAAAATACCTTTCGCATAGATTTTTTAAAATATTATTTATTTCATGCAAAATATACTCCAACCCTAATAAAAATGCAGCGATGAATAATATGTGTAGAATACTCTTAAAATACCTGCAAATCGTAAATAATGTTGTGTTATGCTCTAAGTGTCTTTTGAGTGCAATACTTTGGTAGTCTGACTTAAACTACCAAAGTATTGAAAAGCTCGCCTATCAGAAGTTCACTTCAAGCAGATGTGGAGTACACTGAAGCGCCTAAACACAACGTTTGAATAGTTTCTCAGTTGAGCTGTGCAGCATCGCACTTATAAATCAGCGCAGTTTATGTTATTGTGTCCTTTTTGCTATCAAGAACAGACCTGATGAGCTTCTTGCGCACCAATCACAAACGGGGCTCGGGAACTACAACCACAACACCTGCTGATGCTGGAAAGCTTCAGCAAGTGCTGCGAGCAGATATGTTTGGCGTGTAATTGTGTTAGCACAATGTTAGTTCACTGAATGCGTAGATATACCAAAATTACAATTCCTTGCCCCTCAAAATGCCATTTGTGCGCTAAAAAGTGCACAAATGGCATCTTGCGGGGCAAGGAATTATATTGTTGGTATATCTAAAAATTTTTCTGATTAATATTTATGATATATTTTGAATACCTTTCGCACGTATTTCGAATGGGGACAAAATAATACAGAAAGAATACAAAATGAATATTCTTATTCATTATATTTCAAGTTGGTTTCAAGTACGACCTCTTTTTGCTAAGGGTAGCGTGGCGCCTTTCACGGACGCGCAGGCGTCGGGCTTCGATGGCGTTACACGAGAGCAAAACAAGAAACCAAGCGAAAGAAAAGGGAGCGGCAAAGAAAGAAAATGCCATGAACAACTCCTCATCGTCCTTCTTGTCATGCTTTTTTTGTTGTTGTTGCGACGGTTTGCAGAATGCACTCGCGCGCACAGACTGAGATCTGGGAGCGGAAGCGACTCCTAACTCGCAAGGCTCTGATAACTCGTTGACTCGGGCGCCGTCGAAAGATGATCAGGTATTGTTTCTTATAGTTCGAGGCGCGTTGTTTGGCAGGCAGCCAACCCTGCTGCCTTCCACGTTCATTCGCGCGCACTCCTTTGAGTGCGAAATGTGGGTTTGCTTCGGCAATAAAACAAAGCGAGATTCACTTCTCTCTTCTCCTCTTGCGCTTTGCTTGGAGGCTTGTTTTTTTATACTGCATTTGTAGTGTAAGTCCGCCCATTACTCGGTCTTTGTTCCGATGCTTGTTTTCTGTGTTCTATACTTTAGTGGGTTGGGGTTACAAGCAAGCTAGCGGATTCCCGCTCATTTCCTTTGACTTTAGTCTCTGCGTACTTCGTTTCACCTTGCGATGAACCGCTGCGGACGCCACGAGTCACCCTAGGCAATCCAGCACCATGAGCGGGACTGCAGGGTCACGCGACACTCAGAAAGCACTTTCGATGGCTCTCGTGCTGTCTGTTGAGGTCCATCGTAAGGTGAATTAGACTATCGTCACCTCTCTTGGTGTGACCGAACTGACTAGACCTGCAGAAAGATCGTCCCGCGCCAGACGAGGCGCGACCGTTGCTGTAAGGGCAACTGAGAAGGAAAGCTGGGTGCTTTCCTTCTCAGTTGATGTGTTCTTGCCGCTGTGCATGGAGTCGCTTTCAGCAGTGTACTAGCCGTTTTGCTGTGCAGGTATTTGAAGAACACAGTAATATAACTTATTTCTGCGCCACGCACGAACTGGATATTTTTACGCTCTTATCAAACAAACACGGTGGCCTTACGTCTATGTCCTAGAAGACAAATGCCAAAAAAGTTTGCCAAAAAAATTAGTGTATTTAAGTTTTGCTGTTTGTTACGAGCCACGTGGTCGCGAGACTGATGTCTTAAACAAGCATCGACATATCAAGGGGCTTTCTCGATGTTTGCAGTACATTTTAAATAAACACTTTCTGCCACCAGCGGTCCGCTTAGTAAAATCTGTGCTTTTTTGAGGAATTTAGCATTTTCTTTTTTGCAATTGTCTCTGCATTTGGTAATGTCAGCTTTATGCGGCTTATACCGGCAGAAAAATGTAGCTGTCAAGTGCCAATTTTTACGTTTAGGAATTAAACGAATGAAATGGAACGATTCAGCCATTCCAGAAGTGGAAATGGGCTCAGTGTCTCCATTCCTAGGAATTGAAAGGAATTGAATTATCGAAAACTCTAATTCCTCGGAATGGAATCGGAATGGAAGGGGGGTGCCCATTCCGCAACACTGCTACAGATTGTAACCAAGCTTTCTAGCGGAACAGTCTGAGCCCCTATTCTGTCAAGTAACAGAACTATTATTTGTAGTTCGTCGACAGGAACATTATTTTGTTTGGAAGGTAAGAAGTAAACTGAAAAATAAAAATTAACTTGGCTGTTTTTTTTTTCAAATAATATTCCTTCAGCATCATTTCATATATTTCGGTTAGATTTTAATATTTCATAATCACTAATTATATATTGATCATACCCGTAACAGCATACTTACACGGCTCATACTTGGGCCAGTTTAGCGCTATCTTGGGCCAGGCTAGAGCCAAGTTGGATCCAGCTGTTGTTTTGAAAAATATATTTTTTACATTAGTGTTTATGCCAGTTGTGTTTGATATATTTTATATATATATCACTGCTCTGTGTAACAATGAACATATACATGAAAGGGGGTAAACCAGTTGTGACCAATAATTTTTTTCTTGTCTCTTCCGTCTCAGAAAATGAGTCACGTATAAAGATTGATTCATCCATTGTTTTGATGGACAACAGCTTGTTCATTCTATTCGCAGATTTAGGCGGAGAAGCCTTACGATGCAGTACCGAAAAAGGTTCTTTCTTCTTACCGCTGGTTTCCTTGTGGTTAGCCTCTTGTATCTCACACCCTGGTCCCATGTAGCAGTGCTAGCTCCCAGCGCCACAGAGCGGCAATTACTTTCGCCGCGTGTGATGCCATTCTGCACGGACGATGGTTACAGCAACACCTTCAGTTTCGACGAACCCCAGCAAAAGACACCTAGTAAAACTGATGTTAGCAGTGTCTGGAATCCTGAATATTACCTAACTAAAGGGTATGGTCGACTACCTTTTCCCATCGAGAAGACGGAAAACCTGTCCAATGCGTATACCGTGGTGTCGCGCTGTCGCAGCAGTACAGAGACAATGTTTTTCATCCACAGCGCCGCTGGTCACCAAGTTCACCGTAAAGTAATCCGGCAGTTCGTCGGAAACGCGGCACTATCCACCGCACACGACTGGACGACGGTGTTCTTCGTGGGGATCTCGAAAAACCGCACAGCATCGAGGGCGGTCCAAGACGAAGCTACCAAGTACGGCGACGTGGTGATACTGCCGTATGAAGACACCTACCGGAACTTGACGTACAAGTTTGTCTACGGAATGAAGTGGACCCTTGAATTCTGCCCTTCTGTGAAGTACATAGTGAAGTTCGATGACGACATGGTGGCCAACCTGGTTAGGGTGGTGAGGTACCTCAGGAGGCTGCGGGCATCTCCTGGTTCAGAAATTCACTGCTACGTCTGGAACAGGAAGACGGTGCACAGAGAGACCGAATCGCCTTGGTACCTTCCTTCTGACGTTTATCCCAGGGATACGTTTCCAGATTACTGCTCCGGGCGCGCTATTTTCTTCAAAAGTGAGGCGCTGCGGAGACTGTACAGTGCTTCGTTCTGTTTGCCTTTCCACGGCATTGACGACGTTTACGTGACCGGTGATGCCGCGCTGTGGGCGAAGGTGGGTCATGTTGCCATTAATTCAGAATTGTCGCAGGACGGCGAGAATTGGGAAGGCGTCGTAAGCGGTCGCGTTATTTTCAGTCATATACACAATCATACGCTACGGGCCAAGGCATGGTATTTGATTGTTAGAGAGATTCAGCGCGAGAGTTAGAAAACGGAACATACTCCTGGATAGGTTTAATCTAATTAACCATAGAAGAGGGTTCGCATAAAAGACTAGTCATGCATCCTTTCGTGTTAAACCGCTCTGCAGGACCACTGTTCAGGGAAGGGAGAGCTTACCATAGCGATGCTGAGGTGTATTTAAATGCCACACTCTAGTACGCTGCCCTAAAATTTGAAGATCAGGTGAGGCACATGTGCGCACCTCAAACAAAATGGCGGTGGTCAGTGGCTTTACTTGTTTGCATGTACATGGAGAGAATACCACGAGCTGAGACTAAATGAAGGGCGCGAGGCTTCAACCAGAGTCACCGTGAAAGAACGCTTTAGCAGTCAAAGTAGCACCCAGCTTTAACCCGTTCCGTCCCTTTTCACACTTGGTCAGTTGCTTTATTACAGTCACTGAACTGACCTAGCTGGTTAAAGTTTAACTAACTGTGCCTTGGCTTGCCAGGCATGTTAGAATTTGATATCGGTTTCATATACTTCTCCTCCCTTCTGATGACATTCCAACCGTAGGCCTTTCCAGCGCACGAAGCTATTGGTGGACTTCATTTTCTAATCTTTCCTTTTAGAAAAAAAAAACAATTATATTTACGTCATCGTACACCTATCCCTAACATTAATCGACATGCTGGAATGAATAAAGCGAGTGAAGTTCACAAAATACCTACCAGGTGCCATTAGCTCTATTCCACTCCCATTCTGAACTCTGACCAAACTGGACACAAAGAGTGCTGCATATAATGCCCTGCGTCCAGCATCTCCTCTTAGCTCCGCTTCACTCAAGCCAAAGGTGCCATACGAAGCGACTCCAGTTTCACCTAGAGTTGGGTTCCCCAAACCTCGGCCCGCGGGCCAAATCCGGCCCGCGGAGATCTCTTGACCGGCTCGTGACTTGCGGTGGTCCTTCTATTAAAGCCCAGCCCGTGGCCCGCTTCTGGCAGGACCGCTGCTACCGGAGGAAAATAAGCTTGCGTGCGGAAATGGTGCCGCGGCACGCACCAACCGCGCAAAACAAAGTTACCAGAAAGGAGATAACACTGCAGCCTATGGTAACGCGAATCCTTTCGCCATATTATTTATTCTATATTGTCCTCACCGGAATCACCATCAATATTCCCGTTTTATTTTTAGCTATGTATGCGAAAATTCCTTTGCGTTCTCAGTATAATGTGCATAGTCTTTTGTGCCGAAACTATTGCATATCGTTAGCATTAGTGCTACCATTCTCATTAGACTTTTGTCCACTGTGATTATGCCAAAGTTTAATTAAGCTTTGTTTTATGCTTGGTGATATTTATGGTTCCAAAATATTGCGCACTGTCATATTTAACTTAGTTTTGAATTTCGAAATAGAGCATAGGTATTCACACGCATTAGATTATTTTTTTTTTTAAATTTTTACTCTTACTTTTAATTTTGTATTTAGATAGTTATATATGATTTAATTTTGTATTTCTTCATTTAAATTTACTTAGCTTTTTTCCGAACTTAGCGATGGCGACAGACCCTTCACCTCCCCCGTTCGGCCCATCAACCAAGAGGTCTGTGGACCATTGACCTTGATCCTCAAAATAAGTTATGAGACTCGCCATTCTCCTAAAACTTTGCGGATGCCACTATTTTGTTTCCTAATGAAGAGCGGGCACAAAGTGCAATAATTAGGTTTCGGAAATGCCCCTTCATGAGACACGGTTTCAGGAACCTCAGCCAATATAAATTTAGTCTTTTGTGAACTGTTTTAACATTTTTCAAAAACAGAACTGAGTTTTCAGCTATTTCAGATAAGAAATTTCAGAGAAGTAGCGGCCAGGTTTTTTTTTTACCCGACCGCAAAATTCGGTTTTTTAAACTATCGCGCTACGATTTTATACAGCGTTGCCCACGGATGGTGCATTTTTTTTGTAAAATTTGCAAAGAGCGAACCTACCTGAGAAAAAAGTAAAGAAAGAAAAAGTCTTAGCTACTATCGAAACTTAGCGAAGCCACCGGTCTTCAAACAATACGGCGCAGTTGCGGACGGGATGCAAGAGATGCCGCAAGCGGTCGCGACACCAACTGCCACCAACGAACGATCATACAACGCCGAAAGCCGGCATCCTTAGCAGATGATCCTTTCGACTCAAAAGCGGTGCGAGCTTTTTTCTTATCTGTTTCCGATGCATTATTTTATCATCCTTTCTAATAAAACAAATTGAATATAGACATAATCAATTAAAAATGTCTTGTCGGGTTATTTTAGCAGTTTTTTTCGTGGTACCTATGTCGTCTGCTTTGCAGTTCCTTGTTGTTACCGTACCTGTTTTTGTTTCTGCGACTGTCGCCGCCTGCGCAACGCGCGCCACTTTTTAGTCGAAAAGATTTAAAGCTAAAGACGCCGGCTCTCGGCGCTGTATGCTCGTTCGTTGGACCGCTTGCTCTATCTCTTGTCTCCCGTGCGTAATGCCGCTGTATTGTTTGAGACCGGTGGCTTCGCTGCGTTTCCATAGGAGCTAAGCATTTTTTTTGTTTACTTTTTCCTGAAGTAAGTTCTCTCTTTGCAAATTTCCCACGAAAAAAAAAAATCACCATCTGCGGGCAACGCTGCACAAAATCGTAGCGCGATTGGTTAAGAAACAGAATTTTATAGTCGATTTAAAGAGCCTGGCCGGTACTTGGGATACTCGGTAAAATATTTTCAGGACAAAGATGGCTTCCTCCTAGATTGCACAAATTTCTGGGCCAAAATTTGGCTTTTGTCTGAGAGTTTAGGGCTGTGAAAAGCTTGAAGAAGCCATAGTAGAGCCAAACCCGACCTGCCTTGGCAAGACTCTGAGTATTTTGGCCCTAATTCGTCAAAAAAGGGCTAAACTTAGGCTTCACAGCCTGGTAGTTCGGCAGTCGTCTGGCATCTTTGGGCCTAAATCGCCTAACTAATGTCCAAATGAGGCTTACTGCCGGGTGAGTTTTGCTGATATTTGGAATTTTTGGGCCAAATTACCAAACTAATGCCAAAGTTAGGCTTCACTTTTTGATAGTCCGGCTGTGATCTGGCACTTTCGGGTCATAATCGTCAGAAATGTGCCAGAGTTAGGCTTACTGCCTTGTTGTTCGGATGGCAACTGACATCCTTGTTCCCAAGTAACAAAAAAGTGGCAAAGTTAGGCTTCGCTTCCTGATAGTTTGGTTGTCATCTATACTTCGTCTCACCCTACGATGGACTAAAGGCAGAAGCTACGAACCGCCGGATCCAATGACGAGCAACTAAGACATTGCGTGGTATTTCGCTTCGATGCACGTATCGGTGCCCGCGTGTCGGATTACTGATGGGAATGAGCGGAAAGGGGTTAGGATCGAGCAATTAGTGACTCAACAATTTTACATTGCAAAGAAAGCCACGACGTACTGGCTCGTTGCAGTGTCGAAGCTATAAAGATGACGCACCGTTTATGGATTCGGGGCGTTATTCGTCCAAACCTAATCAGTGCTAATCGAGTCGCAGTTTAGCGTGACACGTGATTGGACCTGGCGGCCCGTGGTTTTGGCCTTTAGACCATCGTAATATGAGACGAAGTAAAGCAGCCACGGGCCAAAGTCGCCAAACAAGTGCCCGAAATGGGCTCACTGGCTTGCAGTTCGGCTGATGACGTATTGAGTGTACGCGGGGTGGTCTGTAACTTAGTTATATAGAAATCAATTTTTATTCGGCTCGCAACTTTTTTTTTTATTACAGCGCAGCTCTTAGGCGCCCGTTTCCGGCTTGAGTACGTCGCCGTCGGCGTCGGCGTAACCGTAAGGTCACGTGACCCCCGTGAGGTCACGTGACCCCCGTGAAGTCACGTGAACCCGGTGACGTCACGTGACCCCCGTGAGGTCACGTGACCTTTCTGAGGTCTTCTTTAATGGTGTGAATTCTTCTATTGGTTTGAATGGCTGTTGTACGAGGGAAGGAAAATGTGAATTCTTCTAGTCTGATACCATTAACGTGCATGTTTACTCTAAAGCCTCACAGCTCTTTTAAATTTGACCCATTACAGAACGATTATCACTTACTTGGTGGAGCGGATACTAGTTCTAATTTATGCCACTTAATATAATATTATTTGGTTGAAAGCAAAACACGGTGTGTTTCATTCAGACAATTCCTCGTGAAACACATCAACCATTCTTTTTTGTAGTCACAACTTTATGTCGGATATCTCTTCTTTAAGTTGGCTGCCATTTCCTACTTGTATGATTGAGAAAGCGAACTTGGCGTCCACATTTTATCTCCATTATTTGTCACAAATATAAGCGTACAGTTTCCTACCCAAATAGAAACTATGGATACATTCAATAAACATACCACAATATTTACGATCACATGAAATCTTACACGCCTTCTATACACCTTGCACAATTTATTTAAGGCTCTGGTACCTTTGTTCGACAAATCTTGTGTGAAACCTTTTTTTTTTTCTGCGTGAAGTCATATTAGGTAGAAAGCATTTACTATATAACCTATAACAGCACGAAGTTTATGTATATTCACCAATTCGTAAATACATATCTAACTTACCTTATAATATACATTTTAGTCGTCTAATCTGGCTTTCCAGGGTCAATTTTTTTTTTTAATGCAAATTGAGCCTTAGTTTGCTCGCGAAGAAATCAGTGATGATCAGCTTAATCTACAGATTATATTCGGGGACCAGAAATAAAATTTTAAAAGTTTTGGCGCTTCTCATATATTGTTTAAAAATATAAGGCAGTGAAAGCATTAGCATAGACAATGACCACTCAAAAATCGCAAGGCGTGGTGAGCCTGTCTCGAGCATCTCATTATCGCTGCCCAGCCAATCAGATTGCGCCGTTTTTCAAATAAGACTGGCTGAGAACCAATCACGAAGAACCATGAACATAACCGATGCCCCTTGTTTCTTAAATGGTCGGGGGCTATAGGAATAATTCAACGTGCCAAACGTTTAGTTGACCAAAATTACTTTACGCCCCTTTTTTTCAGGGCTG